CGATGCACTGGGCGAAGCAACTCATTACGGATATGTATATGTGTGAAGAGCATTAGGTAATTCAGTCTCATCTTGTGCTTCTTTGATTTCCCATAGGGAAAATCGAGCAACTTTCTCTGGACCAGGATGTGGTCTCAGAATTGTAACAGGCCCTAGAAGTGGATGAAGATCACATCCTTCGAAGTTCCATTTGAGAATGTGTTTTCTTCGGCTGCGTTATTGAGTCGTCTCTCTCGTAAAACACCGGAATCTCGAGCTTCACTGGGCCATTCTAGTATGTGCGGTTAATCCGACATGCGTCAACACCCGGTGCTTTGGCATCATGGTGTAAATCTGTCGTTCTTGACATTCTTTGAGCGAATTTCAATTCCTTCAGTCTCCCGACTCGAAGAGAAATAGATCCCTTAGCGAAAATAACACCTCCACCCCGTGGATAATCGCTCGAAGTACAACCCCTTTGGGCAAACTAGCGCTATACTCGGGATAAATGAGGCTGTCGAGTGACCTGGAATTGTTTTATAGAGCCATTCTCATGGAGCCAGTCGCTATCCGAGGCAACTGATCACACCACACCATTTTGTCTCATCTTCCGTCAGAACATCTATCATCTCCTCAGGTGATCAGCTTAGCGAGAGGCATGCCCGTGCTCGCTGCTCGTGAGCCTCATCCACTGCCCCTGGGGATATTGGGCAATCCGGAGAGATCGATCGGAGACATGAATGAAGTATAAGCTAACTTGATAGAGTAGGGAGAGAGACGTAGTGGAAAAAAGTATCAACTACGGCGGATTCAAGAAAGAGGAAAACAGAAGGAAAAAAAAGGAGGAAAAAGACAGAAGAGCTCTGAGGAAGGAGGGAGTCGAGGAAGGAAAGAACTACTTCCGAAGCATGTGCAACCCAAAATCAGTGATATCAGTCTCTCGATGTAGGTAAATGGCTATGTAGAGAAAAAGTTAGTTCAGAAATAACTACTTCCTGCACGTTTCATTGTCCATTTTTTTGAATCCTCAGATAGACCAGTCGCTACCTGCTCCTCTGTCTTCTGTTTACAATTGCAAGATCGGGCTGTAACCTTTATGATCTTCATATGCAATATTGATGCTTGGCTTCTGTATATGGATCGAAGGTGTTGTAAACACTGCAGAGGAATGACTGCGTCCATTATGTACATATGTGATATGTTGCCGATGGGATAATCTCAATTCCTTAATCTCCAAATCATGACTCAGGAGAGTCGGCGCGATGGGTCTTGCGCTTTTTATTCGTGCCAGCCTTGGCCTTGGCAGTTGAGGTATTTCTTTTGCCTTTATTTTGCGAAGCAGAAGCTTCTTGTCCTTCACCGTCCCCGACAGCTGGCTCCCCATCCAGTGAGGTTCCGCCTGTCTGAGCTTCCTGACGTAGTCGACTAAATGCCTTTTCCATGCGACTGGGTCCGCCTGTACGAACACGAGGCGCAAACGCACCCGCACCCTGTGGACCTTGCATGAATTGTGTGATGTTTGACTGTGTGCCTTCCTGGCCCCGCCGATTCATGTCACGAATGACCGGTACTAGGACTTCGTCCGTCCGCTCTTGGGTCCAGCCGATTGTTGTCATGAGAAAGGTTCGTAACCCATTCAAGTCAGGAACACCCCATTGGAACTGGGAAGGGTCGTCATCAACCACGGGTTCCAGATATGCCTCGTCAACTTTGTGATCTGGGAATGAAGGGGGTAAGAATATCTTGGATGCCTTCTTTCGAAATTTCTTACGGAAGGCAAGGTGAGAATCTTCTGCATTATTCGTACCCATTTGCAAGTTGGCCCACCAATCGCGGAACTCTTCGAGGCTGGAAAACTCGGTGAGTATCTCTAGGGCTGTGACAGGACCAATCCCAGGAATGCCCTCTGTGTAATCGCTGCCCAAGAGATGGGCAAAGCTAATAAGCTTCTTTCGATGGAGGGCGTACTCCTTCTCCAAGTCAGACGTCAAGTAGCACTCGACGAATTTACTTTGATTGAACATATTCTTGTAGACTCGTGTTCCCCCGAAGAGGAAAATATCACTGTCATCCGTGACAATCCCGTCTACAAGGCCTAGCGATACCAACTTGGCGCACTGCGCTTCAGCTTCCATAGGCGCGGTGATATAGGGCAATCCAAAGAGTGTCAAGAGCTGCTGGCACTCGTTGATCATAATAGTAGTCACCTCGTCTGCATCGCGACGCTCATTTCTCTGCTGAGATCGGAGTTGCTTCAGTTCTTGCTCATAGTCAAAGGCTTCCTGGTTGGGAGCTGCAGGATTAAGAGTGTTGGCAAATCGCACATGCTCTTCACCCTCAGCTGCAAGCTGTTTGAACAAATCTTCATCCTCCGGGTCACTGTAATCGGCTTGGTCCTGTATGAATGCTTCCTCGACTTCTTCGAAGACTTGAGGCTGGGGTTGGGCCTTTTGATGGGATACGACAGTTATCTCGGGGCCTTGAGTGGGCTGCCGAGGGGCGACATCTTCGAATTCCGGGGAAGGAGAATGTTCGCTGCGTGGAGTCCGATCATCAAGCGCGGGCACTTGTTCTTGAATGAGTGTTCCAGGGCGCCCAGGTACCGCCATTTGATCAATATTTTTATTGATTGGAGCTGGAGCTGGTTCGCTCAAAGGCTTCTTCACATCAACATTTGTAGAAAGCTCATTGTAAATCTTTTCAATGTCATCCACTTGAAAGGCGTGTTTGGATTTGTTGTCTTGATGCTCGGATTTCTCCTCCTCCTCCTCCTCCTCCTCCTCCTCCTCCTCCAAGTCAACAACTTCTTTGTTGGCAGAAATTTCGTCTACGTCAATAACGTCCGGCGAACGACGATTGGAGAGAAACAGATGATCTGGAGCTGCAAATTGCTCGTCATCCTTTTCAGGATCTTCAATAGGATCGACGATGAATTCCGAATCCGAGGGCTCACCAACAAACCATGGAGGAAGTGGGTCTGTCGGTTTAGTCTTCTTTGTAGACTCCTTCACAAAACCGCCGGCACCTTCGTCAACCACACCGGCTTTATCATTATCTTTCGTGACTTTGGTGAGCCTGATGGATTCAAAAGGGAGAGGACCACTGAATGGATTTGACGCATATGAGGCTTTCTTCGAGACCTTTGTTCTTGCTATAGCAGCAGTAAAGTCCATACCATCATCGCTCTCTGAATCAGGATCTGGCACTGTTTCATAAGATGGAGCTGATTCGACTTGTCGACGGATGGGCATTTCAGGAATATCAGGCATATCTTCGTCGTCGACTTTATCTGGTTGCAACGAAAGCGCAATAGCTCGTTCAAGGTCATCGTCATCGCCTTCGAAGAACTCATCAGTGTCATTGTTCTGCTGCTGTGCACCAATATTTCCCTCGGCCCGAACAAAAAGCGAGTCATCTTCAACCTCTTGTAAACGACGTTCATTCACTGACTGTCGCCGTGCAGCTTGACGTGATTCTTGTATAGCCCTTCTCATGTCTAGATTTTCGTCCGTTTGAAGTTGAAGCGACCGGTCGAATACACCCTCTCGGAGGAAAGGAAGTTTGGGAAGTCGGTTCAGACCTTCGATTGGAACGTCCTCGAACTCGTCTTCTTCCGACACCTCATCCTCTTCAGAAAGTATCTCAGGTCGATCTATATCGATGGGCTTCTCTTCATGGCCTTCCCTGTTTCCCACAACACCTAGGACCCAGCCACCTTCATGTTCGCTATCCTTGACAAGCACATACTCCCTGCCACGTTCTCCTGCAATCCGCTTCCCAGATTTGTAGAACGCTTCTTCTCCGTTCATGCCGTTTATGTTCATTAACCGTTGCGTAAGGTCATTACGTTCTGCGACACGGTCGATCTGAAACCTCGAGAATGCCATGCGGTCGGGAAACATGGTATCTAGCTGCTCTTTCGAGTAGCCCATTCGAAGTCGGCTTCTTAGCCTCGCTGCATTCAAGATATTGTAGCGATCAGTGGCCGGCAGACTAAGGAAAAACATGCTATCGAAATCGATTTTGGAAAAGTCGTACAAGTTGATGTCCTGACCTTGGTGGAATTGTCTAGCATACTCCTCCAGTTCCTCTTGGGACATGATGCGTGGGTCGTTTGGTGCTCCCATATCTTCAAGCGAGACGTCCAGGTTAGGCAGATGGTACGCGTCCTTCTTCTTGAACTTGCGACTTTTTTGCTTTTCCGTCTCTGTCATAAAAGCCTCTTCCGCGTATACCGGAGCATCTGGCACATCTTCCTCTTCTTGTACGTGGGTTTTATTGCGTCGACGAGCATCCTCCTCCTCCGCACTGCGTTGCATTTGTACGGCAAGCAACTTTCCCGCGGTTCTAGCAGCATCTTCCCTGTGACCCTCGCGCTTTTTCTTTCGGCCAGCGATTGTCTGCCTTTTCATGACCGGGGCCCCGCCATCGAAGACGAAGACGGGACGGATCCCGAAATACAGCAGCTTGCATATGCGGCGAAAGAACCCAACGATGTGGGAATTTCGGAGCGCATTGCCTTCTTTATCTCGCACCGCTTTCAGGAATTGATAAATCCAGATCGACGCGTCGACAGCGAGCCGTTTCTTGTTGAGTGTTTCGAGTTTGATGGGGCGAGCGCAAGGCTGCACGACCGTCCAGAGGCCGGTTACACCCATGGTTAGTCAAACGGGTATCAGATCATGAGTCTGTATTATGGAGGTCTAGCATTTTAAAGACAAAATCCGAATATAGCGAGAGAAGTGATCGCTAGGGGCATGATTTAGCGAAACAGGGCTCGTCAAGCAGTGACGTGAATACCGAGCGCCGAGCCCCATCCCGCTCCCGCGCCTTGATCGCGAGGTCACGTGCGTAATATTACTGCTTGTGGACTAGTGGTAACCTTATGTAATCACATCGGGGAAATCATCAAAAAAGTAGTGGGCTTTTTTTGGCGGTTGGTGGGATGTACAGTTTGATCGGAGGCAATTGAGACGTTCCGTGTAATTCGCTTCTCTGCTTGATGTGTGTAGAAGCTGGCAATGTCTTTCTCACTCGAGGTCAGTGTTGCAATATCTGTAGTCAAAATGCTGTCCCGCTAACTCAAATCACAGCATATTGATGCTTTTCTCCCGATAACAGCGTTGAAGACGTTTGTGCTGGGTGATAGACGATTTGTCTTCCAAAGTCAGGGCACATACTTCCGGGTGGTTGATGAACCCACGGGTGTTGTCACCACACAAATTCAGGTATTTAAAAGAAACAATATCCATGGTTTCATTACTTTGGATCAACGACCACAGGATCATGATCCTAACCCTGTTCAAATAATTGTCTGGGGTGGTCGCTCAGTGCGGGCGGTTGACTTCTCTGTGGACTCTGAGAATGAAGTCACGTTGTCGGCCTCTAGTGCCGAGTTCACTGCTCCAGATTGGATCATGAGTGGGTGCGCAGCTGCAGCAGGTGGTCACCACGGTGCTTTTTTTATCACAGCGAACAATGCACTCCTGAGTCTCGAAGTCCTCGACAGTGAGAGACCCGAGATAAATACAGCCATATCCATATATCAGTTGGCGACCAGTGTAAAGTCTATCCTTTACTCCGCCGATGTGATTGCGCTGTCTTCCTCCCACATCCTCATTGCTGCTGGTACCGTCTTCGGAGAAATCATCGTGTGGTCATGTTTCCTCAATGAAAATGGATCGCATAAAGCTAATGCAATCGGCTCCATCCACCATTTCTTCACGGGGCATGACGGATCAATCTTCGATGTCCGCATCTCTCCCCAAATACCGTCATTGAATGGAGGCCAGTCTGGTAGATTACTGGCAAGCTGCAGTGACGATAGAACCGTGAGAATCTGGGATATATCAGACTGTGAGCACAAAACAGCCCAAGATCCTTCTGCATACTCTACAGACGGGTTTGAATTACGGAGTACTGGCTTTGGCCCTGTTGAGGCAGGCGAGGAGAGCGTTGGATCTGAGTCATGCGTGGTTCAGGCATTCGCTCACGCCGCTCGCATCTGGGGTGTCCATTTCAGGCCCATTAAAAATAATAACCAAACTCATATGGGAATAGTTTCTCGTGGAGAGGATTGCACATGCGTTTTGTGGGACCTAAGCTGGCACTTATCATCCGATGGGATGACTGATTATCGTCTCAGCCAAACCTCTTCAATACAAACACATATTGGAAAGCACATCTGGTCTCTGGACCTTTGCAGAATTGGGTCCGAGACTGTGGTTTACACCGGAGGCGCCGATGGTGCGTTGAAGAGTTTTCCCATCAAAGAAAATGACGATGAGCATCTGAGTCATGGTCTTGATGCTTCTTTGCAGCAATCATCTAAGAAGAAGAAGCATCATACAGGCGATGGAGCTAGATCCTTTGCATTTGTCGCCCAGGACTGCCTTCTTCGTATCTCTACGCAAGGTCAAATCCAGCTTGGGTATCTCAACCAAACAGAGGAGACTGTCGTTACTTGGGAGACAATATGTGAAACACCCGACCTTGCTTCTTTTGCCGCCATGGCTACTTTGCCCCAGATGGGTCTAGCATTAATCGGTAATTTTCAAGGACTCTTTCGACTATATAATCACGCTACAAAATCTGTCATCAGCATTGCCGATGTTGGCAACAGGCCTCTTGCATCATTCTTCCTCCAGACTCACTCTTCTAAGATGGATACCATGAATCATTCTAGCAACCTCACCTTCCTTGTCTGTTATCCTACCGGAGAAGAAATAACACTCGTCACTATCTCCGACTGGAATAGCGATCATCCAAATGCCGGAATAACTACATTCACCCTACCATCCACATTTGTGGTTTGCAGTGCGTCTTTCGTCTTTGATGACCAATATTTGATTATAGGGTCAAAATTAGGCGGCCTTGCCATCTACAATACCTCTGAGGCAGAGCCCGTATCGGTCATCCGACGTGTTCATGGCCGAGAATTTGTCAATCACATAAGCGTCGTGACATCTGTTACTTCGAGTGATACCACAAAATCGGACTTCGTATTGACCTGTGGGCGAGACGGAACTTATTGCCTCCACGAGTTGCAGCTTTGTGGGAATGGAATAGATGCTGTATCGCTACAGACAGTGCACCGTACAGCATCTATAACCGGTGGGAACATTGAAGGCGCTTATTTCGACAAAACGACTAGTGATTTCATGTTATACGGATTCAGATCCCAAGATTTCATCCTGCGCAACGAGTCGAAGCTGACGGACGTCGTATCCATTGCTTCAGGCGGCTTTCGCCGAGCCTGGGACTTCATCCCAGGAGACAAAAATAATAATGCCATGTTCACCTGGAAAGACGGATATTCTTTGATGACCACTCGCATCCGAGCTGGTGCTAGTACTTTGCTTCGAGCCGGAGGTCACGGGCGGGAAATCAAAGCGGTGGATGTTTTCAACCCTATCGGTGGGGATCGCCCTCTTTTTGCAACTGGTGCAGAGGACACTACTGTTCGTATTTTCACGCCGACTTCCTCATTGGCTGATAGTCCGTGGGGTAGCTTTGAGTGTCTGCGTGTCTTGGATACACACAAGTCTGGGATCCAGCAGGTGACTTGGTCCAAGGATGGAAGATACCTATTCACCAGTGCTGCATATGAAGAGTTTTACGTATGGAGAGTCCGCACCATTCCCGTATTCGGCGTCGCTACGAAATTGATGGCGGCCAGTCCGAAGGATGACGAGAATTCAGATCTCCGGATTCCTAGTTTCGATTTGCTAGAAGTGGAGGAAGTTGATGGAGGGCAGGGTTTCCTCCTGTGCCTTGCTCTTTCCAACTCCGTTTTCAAGGTAAGGATCGTTCTTTCCTTTGTATACCTCGGCCAATACTAACATTCGTACAGATCTTCCACTTCTCGCCATCCAGTGGCCAATTCACTCTCCTGGCTCGTGGAAAATATATGACCAATTGCTTAACCCAAGCCCACTTCTTAGTCACAAGCTCTTCCGTGAGCCTCATCACCGCAGCAACTGATGGCTACTTCACACTCTGGGATTTAACAAGCACACTTAACCCATTCTACACAATCACACAATCCACCTTGAAGGCCAAGCATCCTTTCAAGGGCTCTTCCGTCTCACCAGAACACATCACGTGCGAAAGTCGATATCAGATTCATTCCAACAGCATCAAGGGGATGGAACTGGTTCCTATCTCTGATATAGCTAGTGTTGTTATCGCTGGAGGCGATGATAACTCTCTCTCCGTTTCCCTCCTACGGACAATTCCATCCGACACCGGCACAAATGCACAGGTAGCTACGGTTTCTATCCCCGATGCTCATGCCGCGGCGGTTACCACGGTCAAGGTACTCAATCAGCAAATCTCTCGTGATGTTACATCGAAGAAAGAATCCATCAAAATCACTGTGGCGTCCTCTGGCAACGATCACCGAGTCAAAATCTGGTCAATCGCCGCGGACCCTACACAACCTGGCACGCAAGGGATTATCGTGGAATTCTTACTGGATACATACAGCTCTGTGGCTGATATATCATCATTGGGGCTTATCCATGGACATGGAAATTGCCTCCCCGCAGAAAGGTACGAGCCTGGGTCGGAAACGAACCAGTCGCGATTGGTTGTATGCGGTGTGGGCATGGAGATGTTCGCTGCCGAATCGGATAAAGCCTTATCTACATAATCCCGATTCGATGTCGGATATAGATAAGATTTCAATGCAACAATATGAATATAGATGATACCACGTGAGACTTCAGACTGGGGTATGGGAGTGACGATCGTAGGTCTACCGGGCAAGGGGAAGACCGTAGTGATCTACTCGGGTAAGAGGAACAAAAAAGCAAAGTAAGGCATGCTTCCTAGCTGCAGAATGGATCCGTATTCAGCAGAGGAACCCCATATGAGTGGATAATATACCCCGTAGTACCTTGGGGTATTCGTCAACCCCAACGAACTATTTAGCACCTCCCTAATAGCTTGATTATTGCACTATAATATCTACCCCGCAGTTTCGGGGTGTTCACCGTATATATCCAGCTTAATATGGATGAGTCGGAATGAGCCCATTTAGGAAACGATTGACACAATCGGTTAATTACATGACATAGTCTTTTTTAATTTATTCATCTCGGCTTTAGGGCTTGTTTACTTGCAGAAATGAGACAGATGACCTCGGGAAACAAGGGATACATGTATATATAAGGGCAGAAACTAACGTTTGAATATTTCTTTCAATTCGGCATTGCACATCATCCTCCATCATGAAGTATCTCATTAGTTTGATTGCCGGCGTTGGGCTAGCTGCTGCTGCTCCATTGGAAGCTCGCGCTACCAACAGCTTTTTCTTTACTTTGTGAGTGATGGCTGTCCCCTATTTATCCATCGGGAAAGGAGCTAAGATGTATGGATTCATAGTGGTGATTCCTACTCCATGAGCAGTTTTGATGTCGGTGGCACGCAGCCAACTCCTGGCAACGCAATGGGGAACCCAACTCTGGGTGAGTGCTGTTAGACCTCTGGTAAGTAGGCTTGACTGATCAAAAACAATAGGTACCGGAACAACCGGTGGCGGCATCAACTGGGTGGGAGACTTGACGACTGTGTACAATGCCTCACTGGTCCTCAGCTACAACTTCGCTGTTGGAGGAGCGTCTCTCGACAACGCCCTTGTTAAAACTAATACCAAGGAAGATGTGGTAACCCAAATCGCCAGCTTCCAGACAGCATATGGTAAAAAGCCTGCTACTGCACCATGGAGTTCAGACAACGCAGTGTTTGGAATTTGGATTGGAATCAATGAGTACGTTCCCTCGAATCCCCGTTGGCGACTAGACTAACCCTTCAATTTACAGCATTGGTTGGGCTGCAGCAAGCCAAGACTCCAGTGTCCTGGTGCCAAAGATCATGGCCCAGTATAAGGCTCAAGCTGAAAAGCTCTATGCAAATGGTGGACGGAAGTTCATCTTCCTCAATGTCCCCTCTGTGAGCCGATCTCCCCAGATCATCGGCCAAGGGGAAGCTGTTGCAGCCCACCACGCTGAGTGGCTCGCAGCTTTCAACGCTGCCCTCAAGACAATGGTCAATGAATTCATTGCAGACAACAGTGGCGTACGTTCTGATCTCTGGTTATATATATTGATCTTGCACAACTAACTTAGCTGCAGACTACAACCGTTCTCTATGATTCATTCGCCTTCATGACTAAGGTCCTCGACGCTCCTGCCAAATACGGATTCACCGATGCTACTTGCGTCAATAACGATGGTGCCACCTGTGTCTGGTGGGATCCCTACCACCCAGGTCATGCTTACCACAAGCTGCAGGCGGCGGATATGAAAGAGCACATGCACTCCCTCGGGGCTTGGTAGACTGATTGGGATGGTCTGATGGAGAATCATCCGTAGAGCTAAGAGTAGTAAGGTTCAAATTTTATGCAGTTACACATAGTCTGACTTGATTTTGAATGACAAATGTTTTTTTCCGAGCGAATATCAAGATTTTGGAGCGTGATCCATCGTACCTGTTTCAGCTTGCAATCAACTTGTCACGCTTATTTGGCCCACGCATTTGGTTTCTGTCTTCATAAATGATCACAGCGTACGTTCAAAACGAATTTGTTCCCATTGATAAAAATGACTGACTATACTAATCTATGCATGGATATTACATACACTTCATAACCCCCTATATTGTACCCCGTACCCCGTACTCCGTAGTATGAACTTATTACCCCCTACCCCTGCACGTCAGAAACTATAAACGCCGATCAATTCCTGAAGCGCCACGGGCTTGCAAAATTCCAATGCCCTCGAAACAAAACGATGCATATTTAAGCCACCTGTGCCTGAAGAAAGCTTCATTGAAGCGGGGTATGTATGATGTACAGTGGATAATTCATCTTGGACACGGATGAAGTTGCTTCTGGTCTGAAGATTCGGGGCCATTGCCTTCTTGGCTGCCCGTTTCGCATGAGGTAGAAGGTCTGTTTCTTACCAAGTTCCATTATTCTGTCGATCCTCATTGGTGAGGAAATATTGTTGCGAAGCACTGTAATATCCGAAGTTGCTGCATATCCACATTAGAAAGCTACTCCAGTCTCAGGAACTGAAGATCTTGTCCTTTTTTGTCACCAATCTCTTAACGTCAGGGCGGTTATACCCACTTGGAATATACTACGAATTATTCAACAATACATGTTAATTCACTGGCAAGAGATCTATAAAAGCTCGATTGTGCCGCGTCGTGGGTATCGTTTCGCATTGCTACCACATCACTCATTTTCTTTCCTACACAAAGAGCTTGACTCGTCAATATGAGATTGGATCACATTGCTCTCCTCGCTGCTGCGGCTGGATCCGCGGCGGCAGCTCCTTCCAAGAATGCGAAGAGAGCTTCGCCCTTTCAATGTTCGAGTCCATGATTCCAAAAGGTGTTTCTGATCATCAATTGACCAATTTCTTGTATAGGGTTTGGAGCAAGCGAATCCGGAGCTGAATTTGGCGAGAAGAACATTCCTGGTGAATACGTGAGTCGGCGAAACATCCATGGATATGTTTTCGGGAATATCAGCTTATAATGATCGTAACAGGGCAAGGACTATTACTTCCCGGATGCCAGTACAATTCAAACATTGGCTGGAAAAGGCATGAACATCTTCCGGGTGGCCTTCAAGATGGAGCGGCTGGTACCGCAAACCATGACAGGAGGATTTGATGCTGCCTATCTGAGCAATCTGACTGCGGTATGTGGTATAATATATACCCGAATGACAACAGAGGCTGATCAAGTTGCAGACTGTCAAAGCCATCACCGATGGAGGATCTCACGCCGTGCTTGATCCGCATAACTACGGAAGATAGTAAGTGTTCTATAAAACTAATGAGCGAATGAATCGAAGCTTATGCGTATATACAGCAACGACGCGATTATGTCAACCCCCGCCGACTTCCAGACATTCTGGAAGAACGTCGCAGGCGAATTCGCCGACAACGAGCTAGTCATTTTCGATACAAGTCCGTACCCCTAGCCTTAGTCGCATGAAAGACCGCCTGTTAACAAAATCATGTACAGACAACGAGTACCACGACATGGACCAGGAGCTCGTCGTCAAGCTCAACCAAGCAGCCATTGACGGTATCCGCGCAGCGGGTGCAAAGAGCCAACATATCTTCGTCGAGGGTAACGCTTGGACTGGCGCGTGGAGCTGGGTCGATGTGAACGACAGCATGAAGGACCTGACCGACCCCGAAGACAAGCTGGTCTACGAGATGCACCAGTACCTCGATACGGACTCATCCGGCACACACCCAGAATGTGTGTCGACGACGATTGGAAAGGAGCGTGTGACAGCCGCGACAAAGTGGCTGAAGGATAACAAGAAGGTTGGAGTTATTGGCGAGTTTGCCGGTGGTGTGAATGATGATTGCAAGAAGGCAATTACCGGCATGCTTGATTACATGGGTGAAAACTCGGACGTTTGGCTCGGAGCTTTGTGGTGGGCTGCTGGACCTTGGTGGGCTGATTATATGTACAGTATCGAGCCTCCCACTGGGCCGGCTTATACTGGTATGTTGCCGACACTTGAGCCATACTTGCAGTAAACCCTATCAATTGAGGCGAATACGAACATGGTCGCATGTAAGTTATTAAACTCAGATGCTAGAATATTTGAATATTTTTTTCGTGCATTGAATCATTTTCCTAAAAGGTGGTAAAGGAAATACAATTAAATTTGCAATGGCCATAGCTCATGTATCAGTTGTGGCTATACGGAGTATGAAATGTGTCGATCAGCGCATGGTATTACCTAAAAAGGAATCCCAGCACATTTTTAGGTTGTGGAATAGGTTCGTGGGGTTATCCTAGATTCAGAGAGAAGTTTATCTGAGAAGAATAAATATAGAACCAGGCATCACAGTAAATTTTGCCCTTAGAGACAGCGGAGTGGGCTGAGTGGAATGTAAGGGCGGGAGATATGGGGGGGATAATGCCAAGAGAAAAATGGAGGAGCCTATTATCTCGTACTGTACTTCATACCTAGGCTTACGCAGTCTTGAGGCGGAGAGGGAAAATTTGAAAATGATCCACAAGGCTGTTCAGGTAAGAGAAGGTGAGGATCATCTGTTTTGGCCACTGGAATGATGATCTTGGGATCAGTGGATTATGACGTTGATAGATTTAATTTTTCAGGTACATATGTTGTACACATCTAAATATATGTGTAGGGTTGAGATACTACATAGATCATGCTCATAATGTTTCTTGAGAATATATCTATATAACAATATAATCTCCAAAATTTACTTCTTTTGATCTATGTTGTAGAACTATAAGGATAGATAGATAAAGCAGAAGCAGCCCTGGAGATGAAGGACCATGTCACTAGACCTAAATAGGACTAGCGTAACCACAAATAGAAGCAAACGTGGCCCTGGCGACGTGACCGCTCAGCCACTGATTGGTCCGCTGATCCTGCGCCTCCCTTCCGTGGGAGGCTGGTGTTCCTCTTTTGAGGCTGTACATGATTGTTTACTTTATTGACGTGCTTTATATTAAAGTGATTTCCCCCCCTCTCTCATCTTTCCACTTCTCATCATTTACATTTTCCCTCTTATCTTTCTTATCACACCTATTCATTATGGGAAAAGCCGGTCGCATTGCGTGTATTTTCACGCCCTATGCCTTGACTATCGCATCATTAATCTGCATCATTATGGTGGGATTGGGTTGCACAAAAGCCAGTTCTGATACCTTGAATAATTTATACTTTATTCGCGTAAGTGATCAAATACTCCAGGGCTATATATGAATACACCTGCTAATGCTAATTATCTATAGCTTGATCTCTCAAACATAAGCACAGGATCAGCAGTCACATCAGAGATCACAGATCGCCTCAACGATGCCCATATCACTTCCGTCAGCGCAGCGGATATCGAGGCGACCATCAAGACCTTCCAGAATGATGCCAACATCGCTGATTTCTACGACATTGGTCTCTGGGGTTACTGCGAGGGAGATTCCGACAAGGGCAAGGAGACTGTTTCCAAGTGCACAGAACCCAAGGCCCAGTTCTACTTCAACCCATCTTCAGTCTTGGGCATGAGCGAGGCCCAAATTGAGAAGGAGCTTGGCAGTGGCTTCAAGAAGACCTTGAACGTTTACAAGGCTGTTTCCAAGTGGATGTTCATCGCCTACCTAGTTGCCTTTGTTGCAACCTGCGCCCAGATCCTACTAGGTATCTTCGCCATCTTCAGCCGCTGGGGTAGCTGCGTCACCACCATTGTCTCGATCGTTTCATTCCTCTTCACCATCGGCGCATCGCTTACCTCAACCATCATGTTCTCCATCGCGAAGGGCTCCCTCGGCACAGCCCTCAAGGTCTATGGTGTCGATGTAGGCCTGGGTAAGAACATGTATGTTGCCACTTGGCTCGCAGTCGCTTTCTCCTTCGGAGCCACTGTCTTCTGGATGCTCAGCACCTGCTGCTGCTCCGGCCGATCGCCCTACAGCCACAAGGACCGTCACAACACCCGCAGCATCACTGCAGAGAAGGCTCCCTACACCTACGAGCCCATCGGTGCCGCGCACCCTCCTTTCGGTTCCCAGCAGCCTTATACTCCTCAGCACGGTTACACCACCTCCTACCCTCCCACCCCCAACTACAACAACGATATCCCCATGACCCACAACAACCACCAGTCAAGCGCCTACGAGCCCTTCCGTCATGCTTAAAAAGATTCCGGGTTTTTATGACTATACATCCCTTCTGAAGCGAGTTTGGATTGGCGATACCAAGGCGTTCTCCTTGTTTTTCTTTTGCATGTTTTAATGACCATATCCCTTTCCTGAATTTATGATGATCATCATGCCATTTTGCACAGAGACTACAGTCTCTATGGGAGGGAACAATTACATTTCTGTACATTTTTCTGATCCTCCACGGAGGAATCATTAGTATCTATCTGCCTGCAAATTGATTCAATACAAAATTCATTTACAAATAACATTTAGCTCTTCATTGTAATCTCTATAATTTTGTAAAATAACTAATTTGTCCAATCAGTGTATGACAACACAAGCAACACCATCGTATTATAAGACAGGTGGCCCTTGCGAGCCTCGGGGGGCCTTAAAATGCCCTAAGCTGGGATCTGCGGTGAGACTCAAGCATGTTGGGCTGTTAAGTGCATGCTCTACACGAGACAAAATACGAGCCTGATTGATTGCTGCCGATCCTTACTTCACTATCCTTGCACCGTAAATTCTGTCAGACGCCTTAGGGGCCACGGAAATCTGTGAATAAGAAATTCGATTGGGAGGATTGGTTGCTTTTCACATTCATGAAGCACACGGGATTGGCCCTGTTTTTACTACTGATAAGGGGGTTTCAGGGGTTGGGTAGAACATAATGTACAAGAAATCCACAAACCTGAATCTGAATCTGAGAGTAAGATAATATGCTATCCAATAGTTTGTTTCCTTTTGCTCGAGTAAGCATGAAATGAAATGGTATTTGCGGGTATGCGTACTCCTTGCCGTTGCGCCGAGAGAAAATAGAAATACAGGTCTTGAATGGAAGATGTTCGAACAATTACGAAGCCTAGGGATCAGGGTTCTTCCCTCGGGTGTAGATGGGCCGACGAATAACACCCTTTTCATCAAGTGAAATCCTGGCTCCACCACGACGATTTAGTTCCTGAAGAACGTTTTGGTCTTGGCGAGCCCAGCGCTTGAGCGGGGTGTTGGGGTCATCGGACCACACAGGACCCGTGGGATAAATGTTCCGAAGAGATCGGAACCAGGGTCTTCGTTGTCTTGGTGGTTCGATCGCGGCATTATTGAGAGAACCCAGGGCCGTGGGCGGGTCGGACGGAGCGGGAGAGGTAGAGATGCGGCGATCGTCAGTTTCATCGCCGAGTTCAATGCTGGCAGTTTCATGGTGAGTATTATCTCCATCTTGTATCTCGTCATGACTATCTATGTCGACTTTAGTCATGTCAGCGTCGTTCAGATGAGGTGCAATACGACTGTTATCTGCGTCGTATTGCGTTGCATCGACAATCTCTTCATCAGGATTGGATAGCGCGGGCGCTTGTTTATCGCTGCTCGTGCAAATTTGGGAGTTAATCGATCCATCGGAAGAATCCTCGGATTCAACTTTGATCTCCACCGAATCCTCCGAGCAAGTGCTACCAGAGGATGACGATGACTGCGTTGTAGTTGGCATGTAGCCATCTGGAGCCGGGATATCACGAGAGGACCGAGCATGAAGGGTGGAAATCTCTCCAATAAGACTTCCGGTGGAAGATGTATTGGCTACTTCGCTTTGCACCACTTTATCCTGGGTTACCTCGCCTTTTCTGGTAGGTGACATAAACTGAGACGCGACTATGTGAACTCCATGGGCTGTTAAGCTTCTCTTTTTGTGTCGGGGGCGCGAGAATGTCGAGCAAAAGAAATCTTCGTAGTCCAGTGCCTTTGACTCTTGAGATGTGCGCTCTACAAAATAGCGTGGGTACTCATCCAGATGTTGGATGACAAAGTCATCCCATAGGAACGATCGTTGCAGCTGGCCCCTTTGCCGCATTTCCTGTAGTTTCGAGCACATCTCAACGAAGTGAGCAAAATCACCAGAATATGGTGAATAATCATTGCAGAACTTTTCATATATTGTTTGTGCTTCGGCGTACTTGTCAGACTTGCCAAGAAAGCCCTGCCGCCGTGCTACCAACTCGACATTTGGACCGCAGGATGTCTTATGAGCAGTATCAGCACTCTCGCGGCGCGTCAGGCGTGAACGTTTGGATGGCGATTCTCCGTGAGCAGCGACCCAGGTGGTGGATTCAATAGGGGACAATTGCGGCAGCTGCGAGGGTCCATCGAGGGAAAATGGTCCCCTCGAAGAATTTTGGCTTGGTTCATGAGGTTGAGATGTGGGCAGCGAGTGACACCCGGCATAAGGAAAAGACGACGGGTCGTCCGAGGGGTCTAAATGGAAGATAGAGGAGCCGCGCTGCCGTTGAGCAGGTCTCGATGAATCAAGCACAACGTCTGAAGACGACTGGACTGTCGCCTGTGATGGTGCATGCATGCTGCTCGTTTGAGTCTGAGTACCTAGCACATCCACTCGCAGTGACTGATCTTCCAATATCGGTAAAGATGGATTCGGTGCTTCTTGAGAAGGATCACTTTGCCCGCGGCTATCTTGCGAACGGTACGTATTGAGAATTCGAGATGAGGAGGATGTTATAGCAGCCTGAGAGCCCTGGGGTTCTAATCCAACTCTCTGTTTGTTTTGTTTATCTGGTTTCAAACGTGCCGCGTGGACTGCAGGTGTCTCCATCACTTGGATAGTTCCCCTTGCAAATCCTGGAAGCGCTGGCCCCGAGCTCGCAATTTCGTGCTCAGGCTGACTGCTTAAGGGTAAGCTTGACCCAAGAGCGAAAGGAACATATGTTTCCATCTCTGGCTCGTCGCTCTCATCACCACTTGATTCATCACGCGGTCCAAATATTGATGGGGGGTTTTCTGCGGGTTGTTCACGACGAGAATCCTGTTGTGCTAAACTTGGCGGTTGGTCATTGAGCACATTGAGCGATGTTGGGGCGTTATGCTGTTGGGATGGGCCATCGCCAAGAACATCGCCCAGAGACACTGGATTTGGCTTTGTTGTTGCTTCCTCGGGGGACTGGGAGCATTGTTGCCCCTCTGCCTTCACTCTGCCCTTTGACGCGACAACATCCCCTTTCCCTGGAGGAAACGATGCATTGCAAGATCCGTTCACTATGCCCATATTGTCATTATCTGGAATTGGATAAACACTACATTGAGTACCGCGTGGCGTAGGGGCTTTTCTAGTAGGCCTCATGTATCTTGGGGGAGAAGCAGTGTCTCGTGGAAGCACATCTCGAGCAGGGGGGGTTCTATTGGGTGACGGAGACCATGGTATGGGGGATGTTTGGATATCTTGGCTCGGAGTAAAGGCACGTTCCGATACTTGCTCTTCTTCTTCTTCTTGTTGTTGTTGTTCTTGTTGCTCTTCTTGTGCTTCTGCTTCTGCTTCTGCTTCCTTTTCTGCCAAATGTTCTCTTCTTCGTGCAATGCCGTTCCATTGTGCCAAAAGATAGGGCGGTACATGGCATAGAGGTGCAGATACACCGGGGTCCTGAGGGATCCATTTGAGTTCATCCAAAAGTCCTGCCTGATCTTTTGGAATATCAACTTCGCTCAAAGGTATTCGTGTCATTCCTTCCCATGGATTAGTTGTGGATGGGCACACACTGTCTGTTTTGGTGCTTACGATATGCACTCTAGGAAGTGATGGCACGGCTTTATTTTGCACTTGCTCGGATTCAGTTGGGGCTGTCGGCATCACCTCTCCAGCATCAATACGCTGTCGCTTTTTGGAGGGTGATGCGTTTGGACTCTGCTCATATTGCGAGCCCAGATTATCATCCCGAGCTGCTTGTGACGGCGCATCTGTGTTGCCACGATGTCTTTTTTTCGAAAATTGCAGGTCGTGCCCGGTTCCAACAGTATGAGCCCGGCCATGATCAACTGACTCATCTGGTTCCACTTGATTTAGGCACTCTGCTATTAGATCGTCCACACCTTGCTTGATGGCGGCGAGAGATACATTGGGGGTAGATTCACTAGCGCGCGTCGCATCAGCAGTGTTGCTAAAAAGGCTTCGGGGTGAGTATTGTGCTCCGGTTGGGTACGTGTCAATTTCTTGTAGGGCAACTGACTTCCTTCCATTTGGCAAGGGCGAACGCTCGCTTTTACGTTCACCTAGAGATAGTCCACGAGTCTCTGGGAGTTCTCTAGTGGCTGAACCGTTCGTTTGAATTTGACGAGAAGGCGCGAGCAATCCGAGAAGATCTAATGACCCGTTGATGGGGATGCGATTGGCCATAGAAGTATCCTTCGGTGCGCCATGACGCATATTAGACGGAGGTTGGGAGAAGAGCAACTGTGAGGTCGAGTCGTTTTGAGAATGATGGGGTGGCATGGGTTGATCAGGCTGAGAGACAGATGGGTCGGTCAAGCCAGTATCGGGTTGATTTTTGGAGCCAGGATGCCGTTGTGGCTTTTGGATTTTCGCGCATGCCATAGTCATTAGGGTTCTGAGAGCCGGGGTCTTCCTGAGCTTTGGTTTCGGTACATCCCCTCTGGAGACTGCATTCGGGCGAATGGTAAAGCGATTGACATGGAGGTAGACATCCGGAACAGACGCCGAGTACGTAAAAATGAGCTTGATATCGGAAAGTTCAACTAGGTGCCTAGGGCCCCCTTTGACCGACGGTGGGCAAGGTGGGCTGGGCCCCTGTGCGTCTGGCGAGTCACGTAGAATAATCGCATCGATCTGATTCTTTGAATCTGTAAATGTAGCCCGATGACTATCCTCTCCTTGTCCCCACTAAGAGACAAAAGATGTATAGTTAGCAACAATTCCTTTTCTCCACATCCACTTAAGATATCTTACCGATACAACAACGGCTGTGTTGAGTGTAGGCCTGCGGATAATGAAAATGAGACATCCCTCAAAATCCTCCACCTGAATTTCATCTTGATCATTTTGATCATTTTGACCCAGGTAGAACGAGAGACATTGGTCGGCCAAAGCCGCAATCCAGGGACTTACTGGATTCATCGTGGGAACCCAGCCTTGTGATCAATGCACACAGGATATGGGTCATAGCTAGTAAGAGTAAGCAGTGGATGGATGCCCAGGATGCTTTTAAGCCGTAACTACCTACATATGTGTAGGGGGTGAAAAAAAGAGAAGGTCGCACCGTCCACGGGTATCAAAAATCCACGCAACCGCGTCTTATCGATTAGCTGCCCAGACGCGCCTAGCTTACTCAGCATCACCACGTCATTCAAGTTTGAGGGCCAAGGACTTATTCTTTTGTAGGTGAAGTTTCTTTGATCCGATCACCCTGCCGCTTTTAAAGAATCCTCGACCCTCTTATTGCTTCTAACGTCGCCAAACTTGAGACCCTACCGCAGTTCTGTCCCGAATGATAGGCTACCAACAGTACCTGTATGCTGTGTGGGGATGATCTGAGACCTTTCTGCCCAACATGGCCGTGGATGCTCAGCAGTCCCAGGACTCAGGCAGCCCATCTGTGTCTTCCACGTCGCTTCCTCTTGGGCGCCGGGGTTCACGCGGCTCTATGGCCACGACTCAGACCGAGCGAGAATCGATGAATGCAGCTCTGGATCACTACCATAATGCAGCGTATCAGTCCGACTCGCTCACTCTCTTCAACGATTTTACTAGTCCGCCGGCTCCAGCTGCTACATCGGATGAGAAAGGACTATCTGATGAATTACAAGGTGGACTAAGCGGTTTGTATAGTCGCTTTAGGACCTCCGTCGGGGGAGTGAGGGATATTGTCAGTGGTGGAGGGAAGTCTACAGACAAAAATGCCACAGAAGCTCCTGCAGTCAAGAGCCCTGCGTCGGAGCTTTCGATCGCAAAATCAACCTCTGACCTGGCTACAAGCTCTGCTGATTACCCGCCATCCCAGCCCAACTCGTCACAGGGATCAAGGCTCCACTCGCCTGTCGTCTCAGACTTTCACACTCATCACGATTCTATACCACAATCCAACGTAGGAAAGAGGTCCAGAATATCCTCCAAAAGTGGCAGCATATCTTCCAAGGCCTCCGTGTCACCATCCACGGGAACCAAGCCCAGTATCGCACCGTTAACGAAAGCCACCGGTAGCGCCATTGTGGCAGATCCTGCAGTCGCTCAGCTTCATGCTAACGTAATTGGAAATCCCGAGCGCTCAAGAAGCAGCTCTGTCAATGTTCCCTTCCAGGGAACCCATAATACCGAATCGACAAGTATCGGCAGCAAGGAAGGCCCCACGGATCTTTCCGCGAGTCAAACGTCCTCCTCGTTGAGTCAAAAACTTTCAAGTTCGCCGATTCTGTCTGCAAAGATGCATGACAGCCATCACGAGGAATTCAACCCCAAAGACTCGTTCTTCTCGACAACCTATACTCCAGACCATCAGTCTCGGAAGTCCGTCTCTACTCCAGATCAACAAAAGCTGCCCGAAAGCTCCATTCAATCAGCTGATGTGCGAAATCCCATGCAATCTGAGCTTATTCAGGATCTTATATCTCAGCACCCGGGAGAAAGATCAAAATCACGAACATCTTTCCCTTATGAAGAACCCAAAGCTTCAGTATCTGCATCAAATAGCCTATCAAGACTTTCCTCTCATGATAACATATCACAACACAATCCTGAGAAACTCACAGATAACCCGGAAGCAAATATTTCCCGTGATAACGCCAACGCCAACGAGCCCCCAAAGGCTACGGCCCCCAGTAGATCCAATGAAGACTCATCGTCCTCATTGCGAACAGCACGACTGCCTGGCTACGTGATTTCACGCGCCTCCACGGCTGAAACCACCACAACCGTCTCTTCTTTGTCCCCCCTGAACACTGCAGTCGATCGGGCTCCTGGTAAATCTCTACAAGCTAGGCGCCAACCTCCTGCCGAGAACAACGGTGTTTTGTCGCAGCTGAAAAGTAAATTACTTAGCAGGGATTTTTGGATGCGGGATGAGAATGCCAAAGACTGCTTTCATTGTGGAGAACCGTTCACAACATTTCGCAGAAAACACCACTGTCGAACCTGTGGTCAAATTTTTGATTCGAAATGCACGTTGCTTATTTCAGGAACACGGTTCGGACAGCCTGGGAGTATTCGGGTTTGCAAACCTTGCGAGAAGATGATCAATGCGCACGACGATGATTCATCTGAGTTCTCCGATAGCGAGCAGAGCCCCATAGTGGGAAATCCTCGGGTTGCCGAACTCGGATGGACCAATACTGGGCGGACATCTGCGGACGACGATGATTCATCTTCGGTTGTGTCTCAATCGATCGATCACGTTCTGAGAACCCCGACAATGGCTATACCGGCCACACGACGTGTCGGAGAGGGGAATAATCGCCGCTCGGCAATTCTCGAAATTGATTCTGATCGCCCTCTAGCGCGACCTACATCTTCGCGCTCTCTGCGGTCCTCGCTGGGTGGAAGACCGCACTCCATCAGTCACAAACGTCACCACTCTCGTCAGCAATATATTCGGGGCTTCAAGCCATATCATGAAGATAGAGCCCCATTCCAACGCCGACATGCAGATGAGGCAGACGCTGAGTCTCGACTCCCCGCATTTCATAAAGATAATATCATTGACCCTGACCTTGCTCAATATCTCTCAGATGATGCATCCAGTGGCGATGAGCAACCCAGTCTTTTGTCTGCGGTCTCCGAGGGCACCCTGTCCAAGAGTGGGGGCGAAAGTGAGAGGGCATCCTTTGGTGGGCTCCTGGCTGCCGTAAAGAAGGGCAGATCTGCTTTTGGGGACCGAAATACCCTTAGTATGAATCGAGATGCAGACGAAGCCAGTACCACCAGCTCAAGGGCCGTGAATCTACCTCGCTTTTCTCGTCGTCGAAACATGAGCGTTACTAGCAGTTTTCAACCGCGCCATTCACCCAGGACGTCAAAGGACAATATGCTTGCTCATGACACCCCGATACCGGCCATATCTTTACCCCAGGGTTCAAAGCAGGTCGGGTTCAAGATGACTCGGAGTTCATCAATGCGGGGCAATGATGCGCCACCCGTTGAATTGAACAAAGCCAGCTTGGAGCACGTACGAAGGCTTCTTCGTCAACTCCTTGTAGAATCTGCTGTGCCAAATGGCGACAGCTGGGAAAATGCGTTGATGCCAATACTCTTGAAAGCAGCTGACGAGGTTGACCCAGATGTCCAAAACGGGGATGACATGGACATTCGGCACTACGTCAAATTGAAGAAGATTCCGGGCGGTCGGCCTAGTGACACTTCCTATGTATCGGGACTTGTTTTCACCAAAAATTTGGCCCTGAAAGGCATGTCACGAAACATTTTACGTCCAAACATTTTGATCATCACGTTTCCTCTTGAATACGCTCGTCAGCAACAGCATTTCATGAGTCTCGAACCTGTCATTCGACAAGAGCGTGAATTTCTAGAAAACTTGGTGAGTCGGATCTCATCATTGCGACCAAACCTGCTGTTGGTCGAGAAAACTGTTTCCGGCCTAGCCCTTGGCCTCCTCGAGCAAGCCGGAATTGCCACTGCATACAACGTGAAGCCGTCTGTTCTCGAGGCTGTGTCGAGATGTACACAGACCAGAATTATGACATCTATGGATAAACTCTTGACAGCCACATTGCATAGTGAATGCAGCAGTTTTGACGTGAAAACCTACGTTCATAATGGCCGAAAGAAAACATATATGTACATCTCCGGCTGTCCGAAAGAGCTCGGATGCACCATTATCCTGCGTGGGGCAGATAATAAACTCCTCGCCAAGGTGAAAAGGATCACTGAGTTCATGATCTATGTTGTGTACAATCTCCGCCTGGAAACAAATGTTATGCGAGATGAATTTGGGAGGATCTCAACTGCAACGGCCGGAGAATCCACAACTGTGTCCGACAAAGATAAAAGCAACCTGCATATTGTCACTCGCGAAGGCGACGAACCTCTACCCGATGCATGTACCGCCCAACAGGGAACAAACGAGAAAAGTGGTGATATCTCCGATAGCCAAGTTCTCGTTGGTGCCGATGCTGCAAAAGTTCCAGACGACATTCCAATGCCGACATACTATAACGACATGGTTCAGGATTACGAAACAAAGATTTTGTCGGCATCACCTTTCGTAAAATTTGAGCCTCCGTATCTCCTGACGCGTGCGCGCGAAATGGAACGCAGACTGTCGTATCTGAAATCTCTTCGTGATCAAGACGGCAATTCCGATCAGATTTCCGATGAAAAGGTCAAGCCGCAGAAGTTTGTCCTCATCACCCCGGAAATGGTTCGTCAATCACCGCAAGATGCCCCAGCAAAAGTCAAGGAAGTATTGCGTGCTGCACATGAAGCCGAGTACGATCGGGCACTTTATCACCACCAAACCCAAAAACGCCAGTGGGAAGCCTATGTAGCGGGAAACCCCAACATGTTCGACCCTTATGCACATCAGAACATAGTCATTCTCTACAGTGTTGTGTGCACCACAACATCAGTCCCCTGCTCAGGCCCAGATACATTTGCCCTGGAGTTCTATAATGAGCATGGAGATGACACGGTTTTCGAGTCAGATCTTACTATTGGACAGTATGTCGAGGACCTTTGTCACACAGCAAATTCAATATGCACTGTTAACGGCTGCGAGAAGCGCATGTTCGAACACCACCGCCAGTACGTTCATGGCGAGGCACAGATCAGTGTCCTGGTCCAACCTTACCCATCTAAGCTCCTTGGGCTCCACAACACCGTGCTGATGTGGAGCTGTTGCAAAGTTTGCGGCAATGAAACTCAAGTCATGCCTATGTCGAAGAGCACATGGAAATATTCATTCGGGAAATACTTAGAGCTCTCTTTCTGGGGCAGGCACTTGCTTGCTCGTACTGGAGGTTGCTCCCATGATTTGCGGCGGGATTACCTCCACTATTTTGGCTACAGGGACCTAGCTTTGCGAGTCCAATATGACCCTATTCGTCTTCTCGAGATCATCGTCCCACGGCCTCGTGTCACCTGGAAGGTGGACAACGATCTGAAGATGAGAAACGAGGTATATTTGCGTACCGAGCAACGCCTCAACAAATTCATGGCGTCTGTCCAAGAGCGTTTGAAAGGCATCAACGTCGAGAGTGTCGTTCCTGAGCTGGTGGAGAGCTGCAAGATGGAAATCGAGTCTTTGATCAAGAAGGGTCATGAAGACCATAGCTCTTTGCTCCGGCACTTACAGGACAAATACACAAGTTCTCGCTACTGGGAGATTATACCGCTGAATGAAGTCCTCCGTGCAATTCAAGAAAAGGTGGTTGAATGGGACACGACATTTGCCGATTTCGAAATGAACTTTTTCCCATCTGAAAAAGATATCAAGCATATGGCAACGCTGCAACTCAAAAAGATCTTCCTCGACAAAGATGCAACATCAGTTTCTACAGATGATGCCCTTCAAGCTCCTACGGATGTTGAAGATGAAAACAACCAAGCAGTTGACAGGCCACGGATGATGCGACGCATGACACTTTCGCCGGAAAAAGCACAGAATGTATTGGTCTCCGTTGTTGAGGAGCATGCTGGCAAAAAGCATCGCGACGAAGTCCATGAAGTCGCGTTGCAGTCGTCTCCGGCGTTGGCCGAGGAAGCAACTTTGTCTGTTGATGTAGCCGGCGGAACAAGGTCCTCTCCCCAGGATGAGGCCGTTTCACAGGAAGAAGTCCGTCATCTTGACTTAGCTGTTCCTACTGGTCAATCGGATCGCAGCTCCGTTAGCCACACTAGCATTCCAAATCAATCTTCAATCAACACTGATCTCCCTATGATCTCTGGCGACGGATCATCGGACCCATCCCCACCGGAAAGTTTTGAGATTCCCGATCAAGGAACCAAAAATGGAACTGAAGACAGCGGGGTTCCCGACATGCCAAGTACCCCGGTACGTCGGCCTTCGGCGATACCGAGACCTACCGAACCAGCATTTCGACGCTCCGGTAAGACACGATCTCCTCCGCTTTTGCGCACCCAATCTCAACCAGCAAATCTACCACGGACATCTCACAGCATTCCACTTCCGGGGTTGAAAATGGCGTTCACCAACCATATCGATCCGGAAAAGTCTGCAGGACAATCACCAACAAAGTCATCAGATAGAAAGCTGAGCGATCGTTTGGGCTTGAGTTCCCTCAAGACTGCCAGGTTTAGCTCTGGTCACTCGCTTATCCCACGGTCTGCTCCAGGTAAAAGGGGAATATCGCAGGTTTCTCATCTTGCCAGGCATTTCGAGCAATTGAGTCGTGAGTTCGAAAAAGAGAGACAACGCGAAAGGCGTCAACGTGCTGCCAAGGGCACTCACTCACGAGCATTCCCATTGGCGTCGTCGAAGCCAATCGTGGAGGTATATCGAAACGTACGAGAGGCTGTTGAAGAACGTGAACCACCGGTGGATAGTGATGAATCTTTGCCCTCGGCTCCACGGATCCCAATGGACGACATAAGTCGTAAGAGCGATGAACTTACACATGACCATATATCTCATGATGAGCCATCTCTTCCAAGTGATTCTCCCCCAGAGCCTACTGGAGACAGTGCTCTATGTTCTGACAACCAACTATTGTCTGGTGGTGAGGCAGATGATCACCAAAGTGATGAGGAACAAAACATGGTTGAAGATCTCCATCCAGTAGATTCCCATGAAGAGGCGAAACAGTCGGCAGAGGATGACTCAATTGAATTTAAAGAGCTACCTAAACACGAGCGCACTACCCTGCTAAAAATGCTGACGAACTTCTGGTCCGAACGCTCTGCGAGTGGGTGGGCGTCTCTTGACTATCCACTCAGTGTCATGGATCATGTCTTTGCTGATTGCAATATTATTGTTCGAGAGGATGAACCAAGCTCTTTGGTAGCGTTCGCTTTGGACTCTTTCGACTACAAAGAAAAGCTTTCAAGCATTCAACAGCGATTTGACGAGGCGGAAGAACACAAACCAGACGTTGGAGATGACATCGAGACTGAGAAGGAAGCTAGGGTCGAGCATGCTCTTTTGCGACCTACGGGCACACACCTCAAGTATCAATTCCAAGAAGGCCAAGCCAAGATGCTGTGCAAAGTGTTCTACGCCGAGCAATTTGATGCTCTGCGTAAAAAGTGCGGTGTAGCAGATCGAATCGTCGAGTCTTTGTCTCGCTGCGCAAAGTGGGACTCAAAGGGTGGCAAGACAAAATCTTTGTTCTTGAAGACTCTTGATGACCGTTTCATTCTTAAGTCACTATCACCGATTGAGACGCAGGCTTTTCTCAAATTTGCCCCGGCCTATTTCCAAATCATGTCCGAAGCCCTGTTCCATGAACTCCCTTCCGCAATCGCCAAGATGTTTGGCTTTTACCAAGTCATTATCAAGAACCCAGTCACAGGAACAGAGTTCAATTGGTTCTTATTGCTAATGGAGAACTTGTTCTACGACCGTGTCCCTACACGTATCTTCGACCTGAAAGGCTCAATGCGAAACCGCAAAGTAGAGAGCACTGGTGAACGGGACGAGGTTCTCTTGGATGAAAACATGGTGGATTTCATCTATGAGACACCTCTATTTGCCCGCGAGCACTCGAAGAAGCTTCTTGGCCAAAGTGTATGGAATGACACACTATTCTTGGGTCGCCAAGATGTCATGGACTACTCGCTCATGATCGCCATTGATGAAAGCCGCGACGAACTGGTGGTAGGAATCATTGACTGCATCCGCACCTACACATGGGACAAAAAGCTCGAGTCCTGGATCAAGGACAAAGGATTTGGTGGCGGTGGCCGCAATCGACCAACGGTCACAAGTCCCAGGGAATACAAGGGCCGCTTCCGTGAGGCAATGGCTAGATATGTGCTTCAGGCTCCAAGGTTAGTTGATATATATTCTCTTGGATGTTGTGTGATTAAATACTGACTCTGGTTTAGCTGCTGGCATCAATTCCAACCAACTGCGACGTACCGCTATGAGAACCAGATCACTCAAGTTGAGACTGTTGACGAGAGCGGGTATGCTGAAGATGCTGGTTTCTGATGGCTTCTAGCCATCAACACTTATGTTAATGAATTACGACCTGATGAATTTGCATGAAGAGGCGCAGCGCAGCGTTGTGCTTTCTTTCATTTGTTGCAAGTCATTATTATTATGACTTCCTACATCACCTCATTCAAAACATTATTTTATACTAGTATTCCATAGCCAGTTCGAAACAATTTTCGTTTACTCGATGACATTATGCCAATTTCAAAAATGCCTCTCTGTCAACCACTTCGTATTTATATATTGGTTCATCTTTTCGAAGTAGCCGCTAGGCCCTAAATGGGCAAGCGGATAAACCGTGAGAAGCCATATGTATGACATCGATTATGCTATGTGATGTATTCGAAGCATATTTTAGTTTAGGAAGAAATATGTATATTGCCTGACTTCCAATCCAAGCGTTTAGCATAAATATCACTTAATATATACATTTCAAGAAGGTAAAGAAATCCGTGAAAGGTGTGTGCAACCGGTGGACACTAATTTGCGCAGAAAATGCGACGCCCATCGGGAAAATGCTCTTCATGGGCATTATCCAATGGACCAAGGTGTCTTGATGGTCTTGAATTTTTCATGTTGCTTTTCGGGGGAAGGGAGCTGGGTTCAGCCTCGCCATGCGTTTTCACCAAGAAGTACGCCCTGATCCTGATTTGGGTGCAGCTGGTTCGTATTCCACAGTCACATCATCTTTGCGGTGGATATGTCCCAGAGCGTGGCTATTGGTCCCGTTGCTATTGGCGGGAAGGATGCTTTCTTGACTTTCTCGGTCGATGTTGGTGAATCCGAGCTCGTCGTGTGTCTTTGACTGTTGCCTGGAGCGATTGTATGAGGAGGGGAAATTGCTGCTTCCTTTGAATTGATCGCTCTTTCCTTGGCTGTAGGAGGGTGACACTCTTTTGCCGAGAATAATTTCGAGGAGTGGTTGTAAAGTGGGAATACACGATGCTATAACGACGACGTCGGCCTCAATACTAAGAGAAAAGAAAGGGTTAGATCGTGTAACAATAAGATGATGGGAGATGCTTACTTGGTCCACATGACAAGGTCGGCAGTACCGTCTTTTTGTCTTGGTTAGTCTTTTTATTGTACCTAGGGAGATGGGGATAATAGAAAGACTCACATGTATAGTCTTTTTTGTCGGCGAGTCCGTGAAGTTGGGTACACTTGACAATCGCCATTGCAGAAGCACTTTATCGTCACTTCAATTAGCTTCTGAGTATGATATGGGTCAGAGAAGTATTGACTTACATTGCACCAAGCCCCAAAGCAGCACATAACGCAATTCTCTTTCGTAGAGACATATGGAGCTTGAGCAAGACGGTGGTCGGATAAATGGCCAGAGTCAAGTCAACAACGGCGGAGATGGCTAGAGGTTGGGAGTTAATTGCGAAAAGGCACGGATGTTTCAAAAGGAAGAGACCTACCTCCAGTGAAGATAGCATAGTTAATGAGCATTGTTGTACTCTTGCAGGTGGCGCCTGCTGCCATAAGTCTGGGCGTCCACAGTGCCTCTGCCGGATCGCACATTGTGAAGAGGATCAGAATGCAGATAATGGACACTACAGCCGCAGTTCCAACCATCGTCCATAGTATAGCCTTATGGATTGCCTTGGGGTTCAAGATCCGGGTCAACATTGAGGTCACGGCGATCTTGGGAATAGTGAAGGAGAGGATCCCAAACAAAAAGCTAACTGTATTGAGCAGAATGGCTTTCTCCAGGTTTTCCGTAGTCAAGTACATAGCATGTTTCCCAAAGCCCAAGCTCACGCCTACTGTAGAGATTGCGCAGTATGCAAGTCCCATGATCTAGCATACAAGCTCTAGTTAGATTCAAATAGAGAAGAAAGAGCTCGAGGTCTCTCACCATGGAAACGACAATCAAATAATCGTCCATACCAAAGTTTCGCAGCACCCTAAGTCGAATGTAGATCCTAGCTATGACCATGAGGGTTGTTATTCCAGTCAAGGTCCATAGCACAGCTAGAATCTTAGGACCCTTGTCATCATGAAGATTTTCGGCGGTTACCGCCATTATGTTAAGTTTAATGCAGGAAAAGCGAGAAAAGGCGAGGAAGTGCAACCCATCAGTTTATATGAATCTTTTCGGAAAAGGGCCTAGTAAAATAACACTAGTACATAAGGATTTTCATGAAATGCATAGATGCAGGGGCAACATTGGTTTAAGTGTGCCGTTATTCGACCAGCTATTCCTGGAAGTCCATTACACAAGGAAATCCTTGGAGTTGTTAGCTGTGCCGATCTCTCTCTATTTAGGAAGGCCGCAGTGTTCATCTTTTGCAGACACAATGCTACTGTTCGGCATGCAATTTCCGGGACTAAGCTTCCCTACACTATTATCTACTTTTAGTTAGACAGGGGTATGAAATGAAGCGCACTAGTCAGTTAGCAAATGTCGCTAGAGAATAGCAGACGTCTTTGATCATCCTTCATGTCGGCTCAGTGCCCGGGCCTACATTGTAAATAGTCCTAGAGCTAATACTGCCTTGACATCGAATACCCTGATTGGTCTAGACATCTGCCCGACATGGTCTTAAAAAAAAATTGAATCATGCAGTCTAGGTCATGGCTAAAATCCAGATCATATGTTGTAGGAACTGAAACCGTCCGGCGATAATCCTGCTTAGGTTTACTAGTCCCAGAAAACTAGCCCAAATACGCAGACTAGTTCGCCTGGATCTTCCCCGAAACCTGGGATTGAATTAGATTAAGGTACAAAATACATCATCGTACGATGTACATTCAATACTCTATATTCTCTAGCAAAATGTATTGAATGCGCCAAAAATGCGCCACTGTCCCGTTACCCCGTTGTGCGGGATTTGGTGTGGAGATCAATATATTTCGTCCCACTCAGCCGGGCCTGTCAGGGACCTAAGCCCCTTTGATAAACCTGCTTTGTCGTATACATTTATGCATTTGGGATAGAAATATAAAAATATACACATGGGTTTCGCACGATAGGGGATCTGAAGCTTGCCCAATTCGGATTATATACTTCACATACCTACATTGTCTGCAGTAGAGAGAGATAATAACTTCGTCCCTCAAGGCATCTGATGGACCCATCCGGGGAATCGGGAAGACTCAAGCCTAATTTTAATTTGCCGAATATTCTTGGCGTCGAACAAGCCGTTAGACAATCTACAAGTTTATTACCAAAATAGGAATGACATGCAACTACCGCGCTCCACATTCTTTCGCCCCCAACTTTCGGCAGTAGAAGGAGCCTGCATGATACTCCGTACTCCGTATAAAGCAAATGAATTCTGGTCGATCTTCAGGGTGGATCCGCATCGCACCCGGCTCAACGGTTTGCTCAGGGGCCTTTATTCAACGAAAAGGAGACATGAAATGCATGGCTATTTCAAGGAAAAGGACAATCAATGTAGTACTGAGTAGATTATTTAAAGACCCCTGAAGTACTTTTGATTTGCACATCTCTTCACGTTCTTCCATACACTTTCACGCTTATTTATATCATACAATCCACGATGACCCCGGATGTCGCAAGCCTTGCATTGAGTGAGACCACCCACACTAACGGGGATTTGCACAACGACACAAATGCAAATGGAGATTGCCAAAACAACGGAGAGCTCCAGGATGCCTTCGTCGATAGTGTAGCGACTTCCGCTAACACACCCGAACTGGTGCCTGGCCTGGTCGATCAAGTTGCTTCTCTTGGCAAAGTTGCCAACCTGCAAGACCACACCGATCGATCAACACTTTTGGAAGCCGCTCGATCCCTGGTCTATTCACTTGAAACCCCACGCGAGGCTATGATCAGATACTGTTGGTCCCAGGTAAGTTACCATGCTTCTAAATCTTCACATTATGTCATTGACGGTACCTAATATTGACTTTCATAGGCTACTCTTTATGCTGCCTTGGAGACTGGTGTTGATCTGGGAATTTTCGCTATTCTGTCTAAGGATGAGAGACCCAAGTCTGCTGCCGAGATGGCCAAAGCCACAGGTGCTGACCCAGTCCTTCTTGGTATGTGACTTAAAACCACACCCTGTGCCTTGTCGGTACACTAGCTAACCATCTGTATAATTAGCTCGTATCCTGAAGCACTTGTGCGCAATGGGAGTCATTCTTGAAACTGGCCCTAATGAATACCGTCGCACCGGAATTTCCATTTCGTTGAGCTTGCAACGATACAACGATGCATACCCTTGCATGTAAGTCCAAACCCGTGGACATGGAATCCAAAAGTATAACATTAACCCATTGGTCAGGACTAACTGCATTACCTCCGGTGTGCTTGCTCTGCCCGCCCAGCTCAAGAAGGACGGTTATGTCAACCCAGCCAACGGCAAGGAGTGCGCCTTCCAGCGCGGATTCCGAACCGACCTTCACTTCTTCGAGTTCATGAAGGAGAACCCAGAAGCTGCTAGCCAGTTTAACAACCATATGTCCGTCTACCACCAAGGACGTCCTAGCTGGATGGATGCTGGATTCTACGACGTGCCCAGCCTGTTCTCCAATGTCGCACAGGATGATGTTCTCCTGGTCGATGTTGGAGGTAGCATAGGCCACGATCTCTCAGAGTTCAGACGCAAGTGGTCTGATGCCCCTGGGCGCTTGGTACTCCAGGATCTTCCCGACGTGATTGCTCAAGCCAAGACAGGGCAACTGCACCCATCTATTGAGGTCATGGAGCATGACTTTTTCACTGAGCAGCCTATCAAGGGTATGTTTTCTCTTTTAAAACACTCTGCCAAGTCAGATCAAAGCTAACCCTTTTCTTCTATAGGTGCTCGCGCTTACTATATGCACTCTGTCCTCCACGATTGGACTGATGATAACTGCCGCAAGATCTTGAAGGGTCTTGTGGATGTTATGAAGCGCGGACACAGCAAGGTGCTTATTAACGAGAATGTCATCCCTGACACAAACGCATACTGGGAAACAACTAGTCTTGATCTTATCATGATGGCCGATTTTGCTTCGACTGAGCGGACTGAAGCCCACTGGCATCAACTGGTTGGATCCGCTGGGCTGAAGATCACCAAGATCTGGACTGCCCAGAGAGGAGTGGAGAGTCTTATCGAGTGTGAATTGGCATAGACGTGGGAGGTCTGATACTCAGAAACATATAAACTAGAATGTACATAGAGTGTTTAATTAAATTAATATGGATTAGTGCCACAACAGACAATTTTGTACAGAGTAGAGAGTATTGGCTATGTGATATAAACACTTCAAATACCAGGCTGTGCCACGACTGGCTCTGCTACCACTAACGTATTCGCTTCCATGGATGCTTGACTTGGTATACTGATATTTATATGATCAGGAGCCATATCATCGGCACCTGGTTCATCTTGCGCATCTTGATCCCGCTTCACGACCACATGAAGTCTCGCCTTCCCACCTGAAAGCCTATCAAAAAGCTGCTTCACAGTACCATCAAACCCCTCCTTCAATCCCGATACTTCCCCTTCATACTCCGTATTTTCTTTGCAAAGAAGAAACCATCTGACCATTCCTGAGGTGAATCCGGCACCCAACATCCCCCTCACAGATCAATAGTTAATAATCCATTCCAGCATGACTGTAAAAATTAAAGAGTTCTCTATATGTTTAAACCATGCCAATTAGCTCAGTAAAAGCTTTGAAATAGTCCTTCGTAAGCGCTTTTGTAAACCCATCCACACATTCCTCTTGGTTTTAACTCGACGAAGCGCATATGACCCTGGGCAACTGCGTCGTTGACAAAGAAGTATTCGCAAAGTCAGCCATCTGTTCGCCGATTTGCCGCATTTTTGGGAAACAATAGCTGCGAGTTGATATTACCTCTCAGTCACATCATACTTCGGAAGCTATGGAGACCCTGCAACTCTGTTCAACCACATTTTATCGCGACAATGCTGACCCAATGCACACCGTTCCGCGCCAATTGTAGAGTTGGCGGTGATCTTTTGCTTTCTCGTGGACCCGGCCCCCTCGGCAGACTTTCTATCCTGCCTATCGGCGTGAGAAGCATCGGTACATGCTTTGGATAGTAACTCGTCAGTCTTACTAAAGGCTAGGCTAAAACCAGGGTTGTGACGAAGATATTTGACAACATGGTACATTGCTTCAAGGTCATCGAATGAAGACGTGGCGAGCCCGTGCTGCAGCCTTCTAACGGCAGGATAGTTCCCATAGGCCTGCTGGACTTGATGATCACAGCCTAGGCCCGTGGCTTTGTTGACTCTGCAAAAGCCTTTATAATATATAGTATAACACAGTAGCTACCGGTCTCCTCTCGGTTTGCTACTGCTGGGTGTATGAGAGATGATGAAGGAAGAGAGATCTGTATTCTAGAAGCTATGAAGGAACGGGACATTTATATCCCTGTCAAACAGCAAACAAAGCAAGCTAGCAAACAGTGTACCGAACGGCAGGGTTGATATCACAACACTACGGAAAGCAATGAACTTCCAAGGTTTGTCCGGTCTCGATCAATCAATTCTTTTTACCCCTGCCGCCGGGACCGCTTGCGGCTAGATGAGGAGAGGGCATCGGGATTAGTTAGGGAATGTAGTCCAGGAGTGGCAGATGGTGCATGCATATCATCATTGAGACGTTTCAAGTCACATTCCACCTGAGCTCTTGTCTTGTGCACCACAAACTTAATGAAATTTTGTAACCACCGCGACATCACGTTCCACACCCCATGGTCTATCCCCTCAGTGGCAAAGGACTTCAAGAGATGCGAGTAATAAAACAGACCATTGGACTGTTCCATAGTCCAATGGGCAGAGATGGTAATGATATGTCGAGTGATAGTTGCCGAAAGAACTCGAAACACGCCGTCGAAAGACTATTCCGTGCACTCGTCACCCTGAGCCTGGGATGATAAGCCACGTAGGTGGCGGAGCATGTTGGCGGCGTTATTGCGGTTTTTTATGCGGGCAAGAATAGTGGGATAAGCGACCTTGTTATGACTTTTCAGTAGACTTCTCAGAAACTATTCTATTTATATAGGTCGACAGCCAAAAAAAAATAGCCGTAAAAAAACACTGTAAAAAAGACCTTTCCAAGTATAACCTTTGATGATGACTATCAATCGTTTTGAGGATCTTGCCTTAGGTACCACGGATTGCAACCTCGACACCATATCAGATTTCAGTAATGTCCTAGAAATATATAAAATCTGGTGTTCAATATCGTGATCTTTATATATTCTCCTCTTGAGAATACTTTCACTCATGGCCCTACATGATGTTGATCGACTATGGATCCATTCATGGATGCCCAGATTCAAGTATTCATAAGCAATGTGAAAGACTTGAGAAGTGAAAATCCCTGACATTCAATCTATGGAGGACCAGGGTCTTTATACCCTGCTAGCAAATAGCAAATAGCTCAGTCTGAAGGCAAACACTGCCACATGGGATGAAGCTGGATAACACATATTCTTAGTCATCTCCATACCACGTGCGCGCTATATACTTGTGATCAGAATAACCCTAACAAATAAACTACGAAACAGCGCCTATGATTGCTTAATACGTACACAGCATTTTGGTTCATTTCACATTATAGATATATCGACATGGTCATCTAAAAATTTCTATTAAATCATGTAGAAAGATGATGAAGCAGCGGTGTAACTTCTCTAAGCACTTTCGATCAAACTCTGCTCAAACATCTAACATATTCTAAGTTATTGTTTTGCTGTGTAGTTGATCATGTCCCCCCCCAAAAGACCTACACTCTTCGACCAGAAAAGTTATACAGTATCTTTAAGACCCCTCCAGAGATAATACCTTCAACGCCTATCTGACGATCGAGCGGCCGTTATTCAAAGGTGGACCTCGGGAGCAGGGAGGAAGAGTTGACCAATGGCAACAAAGTCCTTAATTGCTGTAAAAAAAATCTGAATTGGACACACACTGGCCTTTAGGAACCATCCACGTTATCCTGCAAACCGATAACTCTACTGAAATATGGCACCAAAGAAAGGAGTCGAGGCGCCGACAAACAATGTCGTCGCCTTCGGGCGCGTCAAGTCCAACCTCAAGATGGGTTGTGTTGGCTTGCCGAACGTGGGCAAGAGTTCTCTGTTCAACCTGATGACAGAGCAGAGCGCTGCAGCAGAAAATTACCCCTTCTGCACCATCGAGCCAAATGAGGCGCGCTGCAGTGTTCCTGATCCGAGATACGTATGTTCTTCCCCTCCAATCTCTGTGTGGGTATTCTCACGTGATGGATCTTACCCTTTCCGGGAGGCTGTAACTAATGGAGTACAACATATAGGACTTCCTGTGCAAGGTCTGGAACCCACCGAGTAAATACCCGGCGTATTTGCAGGTTACCGATATTGCGGGATTAATCAAGGGTGCGAGTGAGGGAGCTGGCTTGGGAAATGCTTTCTTGAGTCATATTCAGGCTGTGGATGGCATGTACCACGTTGTCCGGTGCGTTTGTTGTGGAAACTCGAGAATAAAAGCAGCTACTTACTATTTAATAGCGCATTCGATAACGATGAAGTCCTGCATGTGGATGACTCCGTTGATCCTGTCCGTGATTTAGGTAAGTGTTTATTCTTTAACGCAGGATAAATAGACGCTAAAGCTACGATACAGATACAATCCAGAGCGAGTTGTGTAAGAAGGATTTGGACATTCTTGCCAAAGCTAAGGTTGCTGAGGAGGCAATTGTGCGGAAGGCTGGAGGAAAATTCAAGATGCTGCCGCTGTTCGACGAGACGACTGCTAAGATTAAGGCGCTCTTGGAACAGGATAAGCCTGTTAGAGACGGAGAGTGGACCACTCCGGAAATCGAGTTGATCAACGAGAAGGTTTGTCTAGGACTCCATAATACTCAAGATACAATACTGACAATACCAAGTTGCGCCTTATCACTACCAAGCCGGTGATCTACCTCATCAACCTTACAATGAAAGACTACCTCCGCCAGAAATGCAAGTACCTGCCCAAGATCGCGGAGTGGGTTAAGGCCCACGGCGGCCAAGGCACAGATATTATCCCCTTCTCCGTCGAGTTTGAGGAGAAGCTGTGGTCCCTCAGGGATGACAAGCCAGCTCTAGATGCCTTCATGGCCGACGTTAAGGTCCAGAGCCGCTTGGGAAAGATTACTACCGAAGGTATGTGATATCCCCGAAATTCTCCTTGTGGATCCTATACTAACAGTCATGGCAGGTTTCACTAAGCTGGGACTGCAGTATTACTTTACTGCCGGCGAGAAGGAGATCCGCTGCTGGCCGATCAAGCAGGGAACACTGGCTCCACAAGCAGCTGGTGTCATTCACGGCGACTTTGAGCGCGGTTTCATCAAGGCCGAAGTTGTTGCGTACCAGGATTTCCATGACCTCTGCAACGGCGAGAAGTCGATGGCGCCTATCAAGTCAGCCGGTAAGTATAGACAGGAGGGCAAGTCTTACGTCGTGCAGGATGGCGATATTATTCACTTCCAGTTCAATGTTGCACCCCCAAAGAAGAAGTAGAGACGTTTCGGAAAAGTCATTGTGTTACCGTCGTTGTGAGGTCCCTGGCTCTTTCGCTTTCCAGAGCCCTCGCCTGGTGTCATTTTGATAAGGGACGGATCGAGAAGTTATTTTTCGACGTCGAACAGTATCTTTGAGCATCTCCCCGGTGAAATTCTCTCCATTTTGTTATGGGGCAGGATAACGAAGCGGGTCAAGAACGGGTGAAGCGATATATGACTTTGCTTCGAGGCATTTTTGATTGACCGGATGGTTCCGATAATCGCCATGTCTCTTGGTGAAACGAATGCTGACTCTCGGCATCACTGAGTAAGTAAACAAATGGTCCGCTATTCTTCAAACTCATAGTGATGGTATATGATGTTTGGCATTCATTCATATGAATTGCCAGCATGGCAAAGCTTGACCGGCTTACAATGTTCTCTTCGTAAATTATTGGAAGTTCCAGCATTGTATGATCTCGCGCCGAGAAGGGTATTATGGAAGGAAAGACGCTTTCTAATGTAGTAAGCGGGGATTTTCTCATAACCCTTCTCACCATAGAATAGTTCTCGGTATACTCATGCTTGCGTGAAGTTTCTCTCGGATCTTTTCTTGGACAAGAAGATAGCTCTTGAGTATGGGAAAGTCAGTCGACGGTCAATTTAAACTCAAACGGCGAATAAATACTAACCTTCGGGCAGTTATTTGGCCAATTATTCCTACTGGGTGCTTGCTGATCCTTCTCCCTGGATACTAGCCTGGGAATATTTCGGATAATATGATATGAAGATTGTCAAAGATAACATGCTCATTCGAAAAGTGCTATTATAGATAGTGTGCATTCGAATAGAATAATAATAACCTACTTTTATACATGAACACAGTGCTGGCTTCATGTACTTGGGATATGATAATTGCAATGGCACAGATCTATATATTCAGGGTCTAATCTCAACATTGGAACCATCGGCTGAAACCGGGACCGGGACGGCAAGAGCTCCCGGTTCGTTTAAACAAATTTACTGGGCTTTTTTTCTTTCTCTTTTATTTAATTCTCTGTTTAATTCCTTCGTGACGTCGACGGGATTTCGAAATCCCATTCCCTGTGGAAAAGAAGGGGATGCACAGAAAATTCATGGCATATGGACGATATCGTCCTTCCCGGGCAGACGGGCAGATGGGCAGATGGGCCTCGGTCTCGGGGGATTTGACCTGTGTTGCGTCCCCCGCATCTACTTTTCGTTCAACTTTCATTTTTTTCACCTCTTTCTTTTGACTGATGCTGGTGTTCTCTTTGAAGAGGACCATTCTATTTGCAATGCATAGAAATCGAAGCAGTTATGCATTAGCTTGCATATGCATATGCGAGACGAAGCGACAAGCGCGAACTCTTTCGATCAAGCATACAAGGACTCAGGCACAAAATACCAATGTCATATCTATTCATTTTGAATTGTCTAGTCTTTACTAACCCACTAACATGACCGGAAAGCATCAAATTCGTTTCATTTACATGAGCAATGCATTAACCTTCCAGTGTATGGTCCAGACCACACAACGCAGAGCAAACTTGGCTTCGAAAGCAAAAAAAAAGGCCAGAACAAAGAAGGAAAAAAAATAAGGTATGTATCCCATCCGCACACCGGCGGTAAACTAAAGCACAATGGATCATCACCATAAGCTTACCATCTGATTACAGAAAGTTTACTCCATGGCCAGACCGAGGTTCTCCTCAGCAGGAACCACACGAACGGTGTTGGTGTGGCCCATACCGCCGCGCCATCCCTGGACACAGACGATAGGGTCGCCCTTGTTGATGATGCCGAGCTTGAGGCCGTGGTTGATACCCCACTTGAGGCGACGGTCAACATCCTCCTGCCAGATCTTGACGTTGAAGTCAGGCTTGGACTCGGGGAAGTAGAACGGCCACACACCGCGGTACAGGTGGGAGTACTGGGAATTGTTGTCAGCAAAGAACAAGATTCGAACGATCGGATTGCGCTTACCCGGGCAGCGGTCTCGTTGCGAGTGACCATCAGGATGGGGCAGACGGGACGGTACTTCGACACAAGGCGAGCGGTTTTACCACTATTAACTTGTTAGTATCATCGTTACACAAACGATAAGAGCTCTGTTGCGTTACATACCTGGTGGTCAGGACGATGATGGCACCGGCGTTGAGCTCAAGACTGGCGCTGACAGCAGCCATGGCAATGGACTCAGAGGTGTCAGTAGGGCGAGGGGCGAGGTTGCGCAGCTCGTCAAAGACGTTGAAGTGAGGAATGGCAACCTCGGCGAGCAAGCAGGTCTCGGACATCATCTTAACGGCCTCGCAAGGGTAGTTACCCTTGGCGGTCTCACCAGACAGCATGACACAGTCGGCACCGTCGAGGACGGCGTTGGCAACATCGGAAACCTCAGCACGAGTGGGGCGGGGGTTGTATGTCATGGACTCCAGCATCTGGGTGGCACAGATAACGGGCTTGCCCTTGATGTTGCACTTGGCGATCATCATCTTCTGGGCAAGGAAAACCTTGGGGGCAGGGATCTCGATACCGAGATCACCACGGGCGACCATAACACCGTCGGTCTCCTCCAGAATCTCATCGAAGTTGTTGACACCCTGCTGGTTCTCAATCTTGGCGATGATCTGGATCTCCTTACCCTCCTCGCCGAGGATGGAACGGATGTGCTTGATGTCGCTGCCGCGACGAATAAATGAGGCAAAGACCATGTCGACCTTGTTCTTGACACCGAATTGCAAATCGGCAATATCCTTCTCCGAGAGAGCGGGAAGGTCTACGTCGGTGCCGGGCAGGTTGACACCCTTGCGGGACGAGATGTTACCGTTGTTAAGGCACTTGACCTTAAGGGTCTGCGCATCAACAACCTCAAGAACCTCGAAGGACAGAATGCCATCATCAACATAGATGAGCTTGCCAGGAGTGATCACGTTGGTGATGTTCTTGTAGTCAAGGTACCTGTCATGAACACACTTGTCAGTCCACGTCACAAGCCAAGCTCGTCGAGCCACGCAAATACATTGCGCGCATGTCGGTTGGAAGAATTCATTCTTCGGCAATGGGAATGATCTTACATGTTCTTATCATCGGAAGCAGTGGCGTATGCCTCATCAGTAGTGATGTTGAGCACGGTGCCCGCAGCGATGGGGTAGTCCTTGTCACCGACGGTGTTACCGGTACGGATCTCGGGGCCCTTGGTGTCGAGGGCAATGGCGACAGGGCGACCAGTCTGGATACGGGCGGCCTCGCGAGTGTTGTCAATGACAGATTGGTGGTACTTCAGACAAGTCAGTTAAGGTCTTCATCAGATGTTGGTGGGAGCTGCTGACTTCATATGATCCGTGGGAGAAGTTCATGCGAACAACGTTAAGACCGACTATTGCCATGTCAGTTTTACTACACAACAAAGCTAACCATTTTCATCGGTAATTTTATTGCCATACCTGTGCGGAGAGCATTGATCTTCTCAGCAGAGTTCGTCTTGGGACCTAATCGATTGCATGTTAGTGATCGGGATTTTTCTCCATCGCAAGTTCTCTGAGAGGCTCGACCCCAAAGAGTTGCTTCATGTGTGGTGTGACTTACCAATGGTGCAAATGATGGAGGTACGGCGGAAGTTCTTAGCTGGCACCATCTCGGTGTTGAGCTTGGCGTGCCACTCCAGCTTCATGCGGTTGCTCAGGTGGTCGAGGGAGCTGGTGGCTGCCATTTTGATATGATCAACAATTGTTGAATTAATGTAGAGAAGGTAAGGTAGATCTGATCAATTATCAGAGAGTTATGGTAGAAGAGAAAGGATGAGAGATGGAGGGGAAAGAGAAAACGGATGGGTGAGGGGCGGGAGGGAAAATGTTGGCCGCCGGTGTGAGCATCGGCGGCATCCCAAGACTTTTTTTTTTGTCCGTACTATTGACACTAAACCAAATCTATACCAAATTAACTTGTAATTTCAAATCTGTGATATTTGATTCATCTTTCTTTCATTTTGTCTAGCTACCTAGGTATACTCTCTATTTCACTAAAAGCTGGAGATATCGGCGGTGGAGGGGACATTTTAGGCAGAAAAAAAAATTATACAACTCCAGACTGGGTTGACCGCAAAAAAGCGGAGGGTTGCCCCGTTCTGGTCTACGCGCTGTAGATTGGAGTCCCTTTATCGAATACTATGTAAACGTGACAAATAAAGACACCCAATTGATCAAAGGCCCAGCCCAAAGACCCCAGAGGCGAAAGGGGATTTCGGTGGGATGAGTGAGCTTATCGATAGACCAAATCGGGACTAGTGATGAGGTGGACAACCATGGCCGCCCGGATCCGGCCACAGCCACATAGTGGATTATGTCAGCTCACTTTTCTCCAGCCTCTCCACGGCTCCAGCCACTTATAGAGACGTCATGTGAATTCACACGTGACTGCTTTTTGGGCGGTCTCCAGATAGCTTGGGTCTTCTCTTACTTTTGTCTCTCAAGCTTTTTGGTGACTACCGGTTACTTAATATCCACAGTGTTGACACCCTATACTTGGCATCATGGTAAGAGCTCTTTACTGGTCGATCAGGGCAACCGAGGTCCCCTGAACTTGGAGCATGACTGACTTGGATGTTCGGTGCAATCTAGTTCGGCCGTCTTACCCACTACGCATTTGATGCGGTACTATGTGAGTCCCGGTTCTCTATTGTACATCGGAATACAAACTAACCAGCGCCTTCGGCCTTAGTCTCCGCTTTCCTGGCAGGTGTCAAGCGCTCCACAGGCCTCACGTAAATACACCCTACCCCTCACGATCCTCTTCTTCCCAGCTCCCATTTATTCCGCTTTTTGCTCATTTTGGATCCTATCGCTATATATGGAAAACCGTGGGCTAACTCTGTCTACCTTCGCACACCCCCGTTGGGTCGTGTGTGCGTAGGACCTTCCTAGCCCCAGCCTCAATTCAGACAAGATTACAGACAACAAAGACATCAAGAAATGGGTTGACAGCTACCTTGGTGTTGGCGAATGGATGATGGACCAGTCCGTGGCTGTCATGGGCTCGTCTGCTTGGTTCGAACGACGTCGGTGATTGGCGCCGATATACTCAACTCGGGACGTCGGCGATTTCTTTCTCGCGACTTGACTTTCGGCCATTTGGCGTGTATGACTGCGGGGTTTGGAGTGGGACACTTGGCAATTCACGGGGATGCATAAATCGCCGCGGGACTGAACTGGGGGCACGGATCTGGCCCTTGGTCTCGACGCTTGGCCCTATGGCAATATGATACAATACGAGTACGTACAGGTTGAGTCTGTGTTGTCGACAGCGTGTCTTTTTCAATAACCGGGACACCACAACTACATGCTTCAAGGCTCCAGGGCTAGATTGACGAGTAATGACCAATTATTATCTGCGCCCCAGCCTCCACTTTTGACCGATGCTTTTAAGGTCATGGCGTCTTGACTTTTTTTCGATACCTTTTGTCTTTCTACCTGTTCTATATCATCATACAAATTCAGTCCAGTTTGCCAGGCAATTCTTGGAATGTCCTCCTTGTAGGTATAGACACAGATATGTGACAGAACAAGAATATGTCATGCTGTTGTCTATCTCAAGCTATGTATGATGAAGGTAATGAATGACGAGTCTCCAGAAGAAAAAGAATATTCAGGTGAAAAAGAAACACCGGCAGAGGGTTGCATCTCTTAATCAGAAGCATCAAAAGCTCCTACAACCTCGCAAGGTCGACTCAGAACATGCGGTTCCCACTGTTGACGTCCGTCAGCGTATCAATATAGCGGCAATCTTGGACTGCACATTCAGCCATGGTAATGTATCTTTCTTCAATCTTGCTCCAGTCCCATGTCTTCATGAACTGGATCCCTTTTTCAACTCTTTTCTGGTAGTCCTCCTCGCTCTCCGGGTTCTTACGATGGATCAAAGTAGTCATATCAACCGGTTCATCTTTGAGGATGTAAGCAGAGATAAAGCCCATAAGGTCTTTCTCGACCCGAATTCTGCTAATGTGTCCAACAGGGAGTTGCAGGAGATGACGTATCAAGGAAGACATGTAATGAGGAGGTGTGGGTGTGAGGAGCTTGAACTCGTGGGCAAAACTCGAAGGAACCTCGACGGTGTCCTCAAGAGTGAACCCAACCAGTGACAAAGGGATAAGATGGACACGCATCCCACCCTGGCCATCAAGGTCGTGCATCAGGCATTGAGCTTCCCAGGATTCGGGGTATTTCCAATCTCTCTCGTAGTAGAGAAGGCGGGGCCAGTTGTTTTCGAGCAATAGCTGTGAAGCCAGCAACAACTGTGAATTGGGAACAACCCACTCTACAAGCTATTAAATTACTGTTAAGAAGTTGTTTCAACTGAAGACGTGCAGAGGAAGCCTTCGCCACTTACAAGCAGAGGCTCTGCATATCCACATCGGTATAGCACCTGGGTCCCGTACTCCACGACCGATACAGTGTTTTCAAGAAGTACTTTTAGTGCTTCTTTCATCACAGGGTAGTGAGACTGCTGTGGGGGTAGCACATTGGCAGGCTGTCTATCTAGCGTCTCGTTCTGGCGACTTGGTTCTTCCAATGATTCTAGGCTAGGTTGAGACAGCGATATCGGCTCGATGGCAGGCGAGGCAGGACAGGGGACTGGGTGCTTTTCAATCTCTTCAGTAGTCGGCGCTGCCTCGATAATAGGTGAGGCAACAGGTGGACCTGGGAGCCCTTCGGTCTCTTCGGTCTCCATGATTGATGGGTAATGATGGGAAGCCTTTGGATGGAATGGCAATTGAAGGAATTGGGGAGGGGCGTTGGTTTTCCCCAGGAAGGAGCAAGATAGACTGACTGGAAGTAGCGATGGAGGATGCATGCATACAAAATAACTCTTCTTCAATCTCAAACAACGCTCTTCTCTTCGTCATAAATCCATGTTTTTGATTTTGTTTGTCTTTGTCACTTTCTCTCTTCTCTTCCTCAACAACCGGTACCATGCCTTCTCAAACTGACTTTATCCATTTGGACGCAGCAACAACGACTTTGAAAATTTACACTGTGGCCCCAGCGGACTATTAACAGCGTCGACTGCATTCGTTCTATGAGTGCACTTTCTTGCTTGGTTAACATAGATGGAGTCATCGCTAATCATGTGCCTGCCCTACACCCCTCTATTCTTTTGTTCACAAAACTCTTACCCTAGAAGGAGGCTGATCAGGCAACACGAGCCGCCCGCCATATGAGAACTCGGGACTGACTACCTGGACGTCCAACCCATACTTTAAAGGCTTATGGATAAGAAGTCCCGGCTTGCCGGATATCCCTCATGGTTAGGTAATGCAACTCATCAGCAGGCTGTATAGGGCCGAGCAACGGGCATGACTATACCTCTCGCTTACCATGTTACCGGAGGAGATGTGGGATGCTCAGTTGAAATGACCTCATAGCCCACTAAATACTTAGTTGGACGATTACACTCAGATAGTTCAAGAGCTCGAGAAAATTAGAACAGATTTGCTATTTGATAAAGGACAAACAAACAGCACGTCAACTGGCTAACGACACAGAACTCAAGTTAGGGTCTTTCTATACACCTGTGGATATACCTACGAGGGACGGGGTGACCGGTGCTCATTTACCTTTTGATTCAATTGTTCGTTATTTCTTTATATATACATGTACAAAGCTGACAAGTATGTATGTAGTAGACACGTCCCTCCAAGGAACACACCATCATCGTAAACCGAGAAAGACTACGCAGTTTCGTTGTGGGAGACAACAATTGCTCCATCCTTCTTCTCATCGTGGTAAATCCGCTCCTGTTCACGGTCGTACTCCTCTGCGAATTTCCTTCCGTACAGACCAATCTTGTACCAGGGAAGGTCGAACATCTTGTCGATAGTCTCGAGGCAGCGACCTGCAGCCTCGGGCACAAAGAGCCAAACCCAGAAACCACCAAGAATAGAAATGACACCAAAGAAGTAAAAGGTTCCGTGAGGACCGAGACCTCCATGCTCGAGGAGCATCTCAGGCAGGGAGCGGTTGACAGCGTACTGGCAGATAAAGTGCATGGCCATGGTGATGGAGGAGCAGATACCACGAATACGGAGAGGGAACAGCTCAGAGGACAACAGGTACTGGCCACTGTTCCATCCTAGGGCCCAACCGACACCAGAGATGTAGATGAAGGCAATGGCGGCGGTCGATGCACGGCTCTGCGTCTGGGTGGGGACAAAGTCGGGGTTTTCGGCAATGGGAACGAGGTTGAGGAAAATGGCAATGTAGAACATGGCAATAGTCTGGAGAATAATTCCAATGATGAGAGAGCGCTTACGACCGGCCATGTCGACAAGGAAGAGAGCACAGATGATGGCAGAGACGAATTTGACAACGCCGAAGACGACGGTTGAGAACAGAGACTGCTCCTGGCCAGTGATTCCGACGAGCGTGAACAAATCCGGGGCGTACACGGTAATGGCGGAGCCACCGGACCAGCAAGCCATGTTTTGAGCGAGGTTGGTGAGGAAGAGACGGTACGAGTTTCGTTTGATGCCAAGAATTTCCTTGAACAGGCCTTTCCAGCCCATGCCGAGAGTAGCCTCCATCTCCTCCTGGAAGGCAACGTCCATTTCGGTGATTTCGTTGAGGACGTATGGGTGGTCGGCGGGTAGGCTACGGAGTTTGCAGAGAACCTCGAGGGCTTTCTCTCGCTTGCCCTGTTTGATATAGAAACGAGGGGACTCCAGCTGGAAGAAGGTGAGAATTAGGATGATTCCAGCGAACATGAGATGGAGCGAAGTAGGGACAGCCTATAGGGGAGAATGTGTTAGCCAATTTAACACGACGACGATTGTATTGGCTAGCACTTACCCAACGATTGAAGGTATCTGCCATGTGAATCTGAGCGCCCCAGTTGGCAAAGTAGGCAATCATGATACCACTGGACTTGGTATCAGCATTGGAAAGCCAGTGGGGGAAACGAATAGTATAAACTCACAGGTACACAGCACCAGTGAACATACAAGTGCAGAGACCACGGATGGGAGCGGGAGAAATTTCAGAAAGGTAGATGGGACCGACGACACAAGTCTGTCCAATACCAAGACCAGCAATGAAGCGACCAGCATAGACGGCATCCATGTTACCATTGTTTCCAATAAAAATGGCAATACCGAGGATCCAGAGACAGCAGAGCTGGCGAGTAGCCCAAACACGGCCGATACGATCACAAACGACGAAAGCACTGATATTCGACCATGATTAGAAAATGCTCTCTAGCATTAAGAAGAGGGTAATTCCTTTCATTAGCAAAACTTACAACAGAGCACCGGCGATACTACCGAGCTGAACCATGGAGGAAATAGTACCCTTTAGACTAGCGAGCTCACTTTTACCGAGGTCGTCAATACCGAGAGACAACTTGAAAGCATGAGAGTTGAAGACACCCGTGATGAGACCCTCGTCGACACCACGGGCAGCACCCATGAGACCAAACGCAAAGACGGCGAACCAGAGCTTAATATTAAGTGTCTCCTTGGGCAAACCGCCCGTGTTGAACTTGAAGACGTTGACAACAGCACCACCCGCCATGATGAATGATGTTGTTTGAACAGGTCAATCGTGGATCGAGGCTATGAATCAGTACGAGAGACAATGTGGCAGTGCCGCAAAACTCGAGAGAACGAAGCTCGGACAAAGACGATTGATTCAGTAGAGATCTTTGAGGCTGACAGTAGAAGAGAGAAGACTGTAAGGGGCTGCATTCGAGGGGAAATTTTTATGCAGAGAGCGGGCATGAACGATCTCTTAAATTGGAATATATTGCGCCATGAGGCCTCATACAGGACCCTGCGCCGAGCCTTTGTCTAAACTATCCAATCCACATTCCTAAATTCTCCGATGTTCGGGCAGGAATAAGCGTGTAACTCTAGCTATCCACGAGGGACAGAGTTCGATCGTCCATGTATCAAAGTGTATCGCAGCTCATACCCAGCCCTTACCCCACGCCAAGCACGGGTGGTGGTGGTGGTGGGCCAATGGCCCTCGAAGGTTCACATCAATGGCGCTCTTTGTTGCGCCCAGACCACTCTAATTATCCTTGCAAACTGGGGCAGATGTGACGCATACCTTAATTGCAGACTTCCTCATTTGCCCGCCCTTCGGATAGTCTCCGAACCTCATTAAAGTTCCTCCGCGGAGAGACCACAAATCTTGGCACTGGAAGTGTATATTGCGAGGAAAATCGACATCTGACACTATGAAAAAGAATGCTGAGCTGCAGCTGCAGTGCAAACTCCTTGGGACGGCTGCAGGTTTAATTTCATCTTTGAATGTTTGCTGCCATGTGCTAGGGGTATTGTGTGGCGTTGAAAATGACACCCCAGAAATAGCGGCGATGCCGTCAAATCAAAAAGAAGGTAATAATATGGACTCGGGATCCAAGCTCTCTTGGCGCTGTTCCTCGGGCCTTGGCTTGTCTTGGTGTGTCCCCGATACTCGGCCAACGGCTCATTTCGATGGTAACAGGGAAAGTCTGGGGTCTATGGCACTCGGTCCAGCGAAGAGAGAGTTGTTGGCCCCCGGGTTGACTCGCACTGATCTTTCCGATTCTAGTGTTCCCCACAGATTCCCCGCATATCGTAGACCACATAGACTGAAGGAAGCGGGTCACAAGGACGGGACACCAGGGTGGGCACGAGCGACGAAGCACTCGTGTGATTAGTGAGGCAAGTGAATCCTTCGATAGAAATCAGACAGTTAAAATAATCCAGGCTTTTGTGGAGTAAGTCATTTTGTGAATGGATAACCTATATTGCATTGCACGAGCATGTGTATTTCAAGAAAGACCGGAAGGGACGTCTTCGAGGCATCCGTACGTAGTCAAGCCAAATCATCAAATTCCACGAGTTCAGTTGAGGTGAAGACCGCGGCGACAAGGACTCAGCCGCATATTGCGACTGAAAACAAGGAGTAAGGGGGGAGGGGGAGAGGGGTGGCAAGCGGGCTGTCCGA